GTCATTAGTCGCGTATCACGTGTGATGAATGATGTTCGACCTGTGACGTGTCACATGTGGCATATCACGTGTCAGTAAACAGCTGATATTGTCTAGGGTCGGTTTAGAGAATCATGTGATAACTAGCTGTGTCAGCCCGTAGTCAAAGTCCACCACATACCGCAGCACGGTAACCTTCTGTGGCTTAACACGCTCTGTCTGCCCTATCGGAGAAGGACGTTAAGCTCGGAGGTCCCGCCTTTTAAATACCAAATAGTATTGAGAGGGGCTTTAAACCTATACCATTTCACATTCACCCGCTCTGGGCTCCAGGCCCGTGGCGGTTTAGCGCTTCGCTGTCGCTTGCAGCAGACCCGAGACCCATTCCTGAGTGGGGAGGAATTTTTTGTCGAGTACGCGGGGTATCTCAATCTTGCGCTCGTCTCCGAAGCGGAAAGTCCTGGTTCGAGCCTCGGTTCGGACACGGACTTTTTTTCGCCCCCTCTTACCCATCGAGCAGTAATGGGTACCTGTCTTCGAGTTGTGAAGTAAAGGCGGCGTGGAAAGGAACTGGCCACCCTACCACAATATGCCGAAGGCCCAGGAAGTTGTCTCACTAACAAGGCAATCCCAATTGTCCGGATCGGATTCGGGAACATTTTTACTTTTACTTTATGTCAATCTTTCTGCTGGGATGTTGTATCCCTCTCAATCCGGGTTGGCCTTGGATCGGAAAGCAAGGTCAGAAGTCCGCCATCTAAAGTATGACCTAAATTGTGTCAACGGGGACATAAAAACAGCAGACTTTTTTTTTTAAACCTCACTGGTCCGTTGGTGTTCCAGAGTTGTCTCAAATCATCTAAGCTATTGTCTCTAATGATCTAAACTATAAATTTATCTCAAATGATCTAAATGATACATTTGTCTCAAATTATCTTTCTGTTTGTCTCAAATGGTCTAAATTATGTAGATGGGGGCGTAAAAACTCACCTACATATGAAAGAGCCCCCCTCCCCCCTTCCAAAGCTGTGCCCTTGTTTTGTTTCTTTGACCTCTATGAGCCCGCCACGTGAGAACACAAGCACAAACATTATGTTATTGGAGAATTATTACCGCCGTTACATGATTCATTCATTCCTTCCTCTCGCGGCTTGTTGCGAGAGCAATGTTCGTGTTATTTAAGTATGTCACGCACATAAACGGACGTATGTGGTGTAGAGGTTATTGTTTTTGTAAAGTGTTTTACGGCGCTCGCAACTGCATAAGGTCATATGAGAGCGCGGGACACACCTAATATTTTCAGTTGGTAGGAAATTTTGAATTTTGCCCGGGTGGCGGCCTAAGCCTACTCTTATCGATTTTAGACCACCAAGGGATCTTTAACGTGCGCAACTTTCAC